AGTTGGGATATATAAACACCGTATGATGGAGCCAAAGGAACATCGCCGTCTAAAAAAGGAAAATTAACAATAGGGAATGAAAAATCGTCTCTTTTGTCGTAAATTTTTGTATGGAGTTTCCCTTTAGAAATTGAAATGTCTAAATCAAGAAAAGGATAACTACTGCTGTTTATGTTAGATTCATTTAAAGTAAGTTCCTTTTGGTAAATTTCGGTAATATATTTAGAGAATTCTGGATTATTTAATGAAAAAATATCACCAAGATACCGGTAGGTATTGATGAATGTGTCAACTAAATGTAACAATGACGTGTCTTTACTGATTTTGGCTATAAATTGTGATTCATAGCAATCGAGGAATAAATCTTCTATTAAAGGGGCGCAATTAGTGCCCATAGAAATACCTACTACCTGTCGATACACTTTATCGCTGAAACGTACATATATGTTGTCCAGGAGAAACTTTAAAGCTTCAATCATATCTTCACATTTCCAATAAGTGTATCTAGCATACTTTCCTTTTTCGTTACAGAAAAAGGCTTTAAACGAGTTACAGAAAATAAATTTGCAATGAGATTTTTCAAAAGACCGTTTAATTAAATATGAACACTTTTTCTTCATAAGATTGTGTGGAAGTGAAGTGTAGAAAGTAGAAAAATCATAACTGTCAACAGAATTAAAAGGACCATCAAAAGCACGTTTTTTATCTAAAACCTCTAAAGAATTTTTAACACTCCAAAAATAATTAATACCATTATTTTCATAAACTTTATTTCAAAAGTTAATAACAAGTTCTTTGATAGTAGTAAGGGAGGCAGTTAGAAGCACTGACAGATTAGTAGTAGAACACTTACTAGATGCGGAAATGAAACGAAATTTAAATGGTTGTTGTTTAATTTAGGTAACCAGTACATAGTCGGGACTTTCAAATGTTCGGAAGAGGCTTTAAGCTGGGTAGTGGCAGTGATATGCTTGTTAACAATTTGACTCTATGTGGAGCGTACGGACCTGAAAGAAGAAGTATTGATAATTTCGTTTTGGAGAACCTCCGTGTAGTATATGCGTCACACCACCACTACATTATTGGCTGCTTTGTCTGCCGGTACGAACACAAACCGCTTTGCGAGTACTTGGAGTTTTTGCGAGTACTGGGAGTTTATTTTTTATTCTAGAAATGGGTATATCATGAACCCTATTATTAATTTCAGAATTGTTTTCAAAATGAGATATACGAATATCAACAGTATTCATAATTTCATTCAAGTAACTGTCTAAAGATTTTTTATCAGATTTTTCACGTTAACGCCAATTTTCTAGAATAAGTACTTTCAAAGCGGTATAGTTTGTACCTGCGGACAAAGCAGCCAACAATGTGGTGGTGGTATGCCGTAAATACTACACGGACGTTCTTAAGAATGAAATTTTAAATTCTTCTACATTCAAGTCCGTGCGGTCCACAGAGAGTCATATAGTAAACAATCATATCATAACCACATCACAGCTTAAGGCCTCTTCTGAACATTTGAAGGTCCCTACTATGTATTGGTTACCTAAACTACACAAAAAACCAGTAAAATATCGTTTCATCTCGGCCTCTAGTAAGTGTTCTACAACTAATCTTTCAGTGCTTTTTACAAGTTCCTTAACTACTATCAAAAAACTTATCATTAACTTTTGTAATACAATATATAAAAATAGTGAAATTAACTATTTTTTTAGTGTAAGAAAATTCTTTGGATGTTTTAGATAAATTACGTGCTTTTGATGGTCCTTTTGATTCTGTCGACAGTTTTGACTTTTCAACTATTTACACTACACTACCACATTATCTTATCAAACAAAAGTTTTCCTATTTAATCAAATGGTCGTTTGGTAAATCTGAATGCAAATATATTTGTTGCAACTCATTTAAAGCCTTCTTCTCTAATGAGAAAGTTAAATATGCTAAATATACTTACGGGAGGTGTGATGAGATGATTGAAGCTGGTTTTTTTTTCTTTGATAATATCTATGTACGTTTCGGCAATAAAGTTTATCGACAGGTTGTAGGTATTCATTTGGGCACTAATTGCGCCACTAAAATAACAGGCTTGTTCTTGTATTGTTATGAATCACAGTTTATGACCAAACTCTGTAAAGACCCGTCTAAATTGCATTTAATTGATAAATTCAACAACACTTACCGTTATCTTGATGATATTTTTTCGTTAAATAATCAAGAATTTTCTAAATATACTGCCGAAATTTACCCAAAGGAACTTACTTTAAATAAATCAAATATACACGGTAATAACTGTCCTTTCCTTGATTTAGATATTTCTGTTTTACACGAGAAACTCTACACTAAAATTTACGACAAAAGGGACGATTTTTCGTTCCCTATTGTTAATTTTCCTTTTTTTTGGACGTTGATGTTCCTTTGGAACCATTTTACGGTGTTTATATATCACAACTTGTTCTCTATGCCCGTGTCTGTTTTGACGTTTTGGATTTCAATGAACGTAGTCTATGTATTACTGGTAAATGATTAAGTCAGGGATTTCGTTACAACAAATTACTTAAAACCTTTACTAAATTCTTCCATAGATATAAAGATTTGGTTTTGAAGTTTGGTTGTACCCGTAGAAAACTTATTTCAAACGGGATAGCACATCCTAATTTTTAAGGAGATGTTGGTAACCGAGCCCGGAAATTTAGATACGATCTGGGTAAACTTATCGATCCTTTCAATAAACTTATCTTTAAAGGTTACCAACTCAACATTGTAAATAGATCTTTGAATATTGTTTTTATTAATATTAATATTGATTTTGTTATCAGTAAATTAAAATCAAACTAAACATTATTTTTATATACATATGCACATTCATGGCTCTACAATCTGTCGATACCTGTATCTTGTCATTGCACCAGGTCTTGTTTTTCTCTGACTGTTAATGACGTCTCTACATTAAATCCATTGGATGTTGGATGTGTACTGATTGATATTTTAGTGTTAGATGCATGATTTTCTATTAGTTGTTATTGGCTTTGAACTAGCTGTCATTAACTGCGAGTACTCTCAGATCTGTACTTGGTGTCTTTTTGTTGTTGGGATGTATAAGTACCCTGCCACGTCCACTCTGTGTTTTTGTTATATGTATTTCTGTTTGTTTCCATCTGATGAGTTAACTGCCTTTTTCAACTGATTTTTATAGTTTGTTCTTATGTTATACCACTGTCCCAGGTTAGGGGGAGGATTGGGCTCCTGCTAACATCTTTAACCCGCCACATTCTGTATATGCCTGTCCCAAGTCCCAGTAGGAGCCTTTAATTCAGTGGTTGTCGTTTGTTTCTGTGTATCATATTTGTTTTTTGTTCATTATTTGTACATAAATTAGGCCGTTAGTTTTCTCGTTTGATTGTTGTACATTTGTCATTTCGGGGCCTTTTATAGCTGACTATGCGGTATAGGTTTTTCTCATTGTTGAACGCCGTACGGTGACCTATAGTTGTTAATTTCTGTGTCATTTGGTCTCTTGTGGGCAATTATACCACATCTTCTTATTTTTATAGATATATATTTGTGATCCAACCTCAATCGTCTATCTCCCTACACAACTATAATACGAGATTTCTACACTCTACGAGTTATTGTCAGAACTACACTGTTCTATCACATACTCCCATTGGATTATAATAGCTTATTCGTCTAGTAAGTTTTTTTTATAGATAAGTGTTGTATCTCCACTATTTTTCAGGTATTTTTGCTGTAAAATAATTGTCATCAAAATTATCTTTAAAGTTAGTAACACTATGCTTAAGTTGGTTACAGGGTTTGAACTCAATCTATGAGCAATTCTTAGCAAATCCAGCAGTCCAGAATTCGAGATGTTACACAGTTAAAATATCCATGGTTTATCTCCAATAGAAATTTAGGAATAAACTTCTAAAACAACATTGTTTGTAGTGAAATGCTCTATCTCTAGAAAAGGGAATGCTTTATTTATCTTAGTTGCCTGGTCTATTGAAACAGCAATCGAACAAAGAGTTATTCTTCGTGTACGAAAAATCGATTCATATATAACTTTTTATGTCTCAGTCAAATAGTTATGATATTGCGCTTTTAATCTTTAATTTCAGTTTTTACCACTATTATCAAATTGGAAATACATCATTATAAGATTCACAAGACGATGTCTTTACGACGTAAACGTGCTCGTTTATCATTGAATACCGTATGTTGTTCTTTAGATGTCTTATATAGTTTTGTTGTTGGCATTTCATTGACGTTTGAGGGTCTAAATGGGGTTTACAGAATAGAGAATAATAGGGCAAGATTAGAGAAAAATATGCCCAACAAAAATTAATAAAGAATAAGGAAAAAAGTCAAAACAAATTAACAATAAAGAATAATGGGGTGCTAAAATATAAAGAAAAGCGAATAATGAACAAAATAAATAAATAATAGAGAAAAATACCCTAAAATATTAAAGAAAACGAAATGAATACTCCCTCTAGACCCTCATGTTTACGTCATCTCTTCTTTTATTCGTATATAAGTTGTGAGATCAGGTACTGAACTACTAAAAGTCACCAACATCAATTGAAAATTTGATATTAACCCATCTCTATAAAACAAGATATATACTTTATCAATAACTTAAACCGAATTTCACGTCAAGATAAAATACGTTTCAACTGAATTAATTACCTCTACATAAATTAGCTTATATCACGTGAACCGTTTTAATTAAATTTTTATCTATTACAGTCGAAGATGATTATAGAGCATTTGTTTAAAATGGATACAATTTACATTGATGGTACAATTATCTAAAAGCCAAAACGAATTACACCCTGAACAAAGTATTCACTTCTTTAACAGAAGTTTTTTATTTAGTTTCGGTAACTTTTTTTCAAAGTCCTAGGGTTATTTGTGTCGAAAACTGAGTAAATCCAAAGTTGCCTACATTTTACAAGCAGCTCCAGTTCAATGCTGGAATTAAAAATTAAAGCACATTCAGAATGTTACAGATTTTAATAGTAAAACAGTTCTGAGACTTCTGTAGTCAGTATTCTATAGTATCTATACAAATATTTTTTAAACATCATTATCATTTAACTGTTTCAAATCAAATTGAAATTTGCTTCGTATTGATTGCCAGAATTCACCTCTGTAACAGTTAGAGCTATTTCTGTTCCCCCAAAATGAAACTGAGCAGTTATTGGTCTTCCACCTTCACATGGATCGGAAAGGGGAATTGTCAATTTCCCGAGATGAAAACAACTATCTTCATCGGTATATTGCGGATCCTCATCTGTTGATATAAAAAATGAAAGTTCGTCCGTTTCGGTTGTTGTTCCTGTAGCGCTGTATGACCTGTTAATTGTCGAACCTACAGGAACAGTTTCATTTATTTTTACTAGTTTATCAAATATTTTATCACAATATTCTTTTCCGTCTATCAAAACAAGATGTTTACTATCATGTTGGGATGGATCAAATTGTTGCTGCACTTCAATACCATAAGTGTACTTCATTTTCCGTGATTCGATATAAAATGGTCTATGTCCGAATAACACCGCTCCTTTAAGAACTGATAACCCTGCCTCTTCTGGTATTATAACCCTTTTATTTGGAAACTTCATTTTTATGGCGTCTTGAATAAGTAAGCATTCGGAAAACCCACCAACAAGAAGAATCTGCGATACCTCTATCAAGGCATCTCTGTCAAAAACTGATTGTATAAGCGATATAATGCTATCAATTGTTGGCTTGAAAATGTTCTTCATCAGTTCAGTATCAATCCTCATTTTATCGCCGCGAAAAGATATTTTATCTTTGAATGGAGACAAGGATAAGACATCGGGCAGCGCTTCACCTAAGTGAGTTTTACACTTTTCATTAAGAGACGCATAAGGAATTGATAAGTTGATCTTCCCTGTTTTGCCTGGGTGTATTGTTCTTTTAACCACCTCAAACTCTCGGAAGAGATCTAAATAACCTTCTGGATCTTCTTCTTGAAAAATCTTAATTAAAGGACCACCGACAATTTGGGTAAGAATTTGAAAGAAATTACCATCCACGGACGTTCCTCCACAGTCATTACCAGTGGCATGTTTCAATTCTTCTAGTCCTCCGTTTGATAGCTTCTTGTGTACAGTTATATCTGCGGTACCACCTGTTAATATACATACTAGTAAATAAGCTTTAGTTTTCAATACCATATAATTGTCTCCCTTTTAAATAAAGTGGGAATGAATTTTCGTCACAGAAAATAACTTCTATTTCTAAATGCATTTCTGACGTTTTGTCATTGGGAGAAAACTGTTTTAAAAACCTTTGTTTTGCTACCTAATGGATTTTAAAATCTATCGAAATTGAATATTACCTTTATTACATATCAGCCATTTGGTTTATAGAGAACGAGACCGTTGAACTCATTTAGTCCCTTTAGAACAAAGTTTGAAGATAAATCATGAGTTTAGTATAATATGACATAATACCCATTTCAATGATTGGATTAATGGCTTGTAAACTAACAAGTACTTGTCTATTATAGGTTGCACTTTGTAAATACAGCTGTTTCACAAACCACGCCTCTTTTGGGGAGATATATAATATTAATAGATATTTTGTTTTGTTTACGTACTGGTTCCCAGATATGATCTCTATGTTTCATCTCATAGAGACATAACTTGGGAATGTTACCAGTATAAATACACATGGATAGCGGCGAAATTGAATTCTGAGGAGGACCAAAAATGAAGGCAGGGGTATTACAGAATTTTAGTATAAGTTTAAACTCTTAGAAGTTCGGGGAATATAAATGTTGAAAATATGCCGCACAGCCCTATATTTTGACCTTTGAAAAAAATTGTAGCACATATGAACTTTCCATTCTAGGATATAATTTTTACGAAACTTCATAGTAAAAGTGGCACAGTTTTAGCCGTAAAAGGAGTTCCTATGGGAAATTGTATTGTCTATATTTACAGAAGTGCAACCTATATTGGGTGAATAAAGAGAACATGTAGAATTTCACCAAATCTGGTTTATCTTCGGAAATTTTAATGAAATTAACTCAAATATAAAGTTTTATAAATATTTCATGAAGATTGAGAAAATCCTGGGCCTTAACTATGATGACTCGCATAAATTAACAGTTTACATAAAACCCTGTATGCAAAGTAAATTCATATTATTTGCATATTTGTAATTTAAATTATTAAGAAGTGCTTATGTTAACTCTTTGCAGTCATTGAAACCCATAGATCCTTGATGAATATTGTTGTTGAGGTGTTTTTGTCCTGTTAAAAACCCATAAGTAAGCCGTAACACCTGAATATGCTTTCTTGTGATCGCGGCATAAAAAAATACAAGCTAGAGATACAAAAATTCCTCAATTAAAGTAACAATAGTATTTTCTATCCTAAAAATGTACTAAATATTCCATATTCACAGAAACAGCAGAATTATTCAGCAAATTTGAGGCCCCAGTGGCAAAAAAAAGAGAAAAATCCCTGACCCCTGGGTCATGAAACAGATAATTTAACCTATAAAGGTTGTCAGAAAACAAGCACATAGGGTAAGCTGACAATAATTAAAGTCTTGTTTTCAAATTCTTTAAAAATTGAAACAGGGGTGGGGGTATAAAATGTACTGTAAAAGAAGAATTAGAGTATATGCAGTGATTTCTTTCAGGCTATGATTCTGATAAATAAGTATTGTTGTGAGAAAAATGTTTTTCAAAATTTTTCTATTAGAATAAATGTTAGTATAGGTTGCACTTTGTAAATACAGCTGTTTCACAAACCACGCCTCTTTTGGGGAGATATATAATATTCATAGATATTTTGTTTTGTTTTGTACTGGTTCCACGATATGATCTCTATGTTTCATCTCATAGAGACATACCTTGGGAATGTTACCAGTATAAATACACATGGATAGCGGCGAAATTGAGTTCTGAGGAGGACCAAAAGTGAAGGCAGGGGTAGTACAGAATTTTAGTATAAGTTTAAATTCTTAGAAGTTCGGGGCATATAAATGTTGAAAATATGCCGCACAGCCCTATATTTTGACCTTTGAAAACAATTGTAGCACATATGAACTTTCCATTCTAGGATATAATTTTTTCGAAACTTCATAGTAAAAGTGGCACAGTTTTAGCCGTAAAAGGAGTTCCTAAGGGAAATTGCATTGTTTTTGCATATATTTACAGAAGTGCAACCTAAAGCATTGAAAATATTGACTTTTAATATTTTAAATGATATTTTTCAGTTAAATCCACCTGGTCTTTTAAAAGCATCATTTTACTCGCTTAAAGGACAAGTCTCGAGCGTAGCCCTTATTAAAAAAGTATATTAACCTTGAACTGAGTGGAGCATGCACTACTCTACTGATTCAAGGTTAGACAATTATTTCTCAGCCAAACCCTCCAGATGATATTGTTAAGAGAATAGATGAACTTATTTATAAATTTATTTAGAACTCACCTATACATAGAGTTACGAAGGATATTTTAATTAAAGATAATTTTGAGGGAGGTTTGAAAATGCTTGATTTGAATATGTTTATTACAGCACTTAAATCAACATGGATAAGAAGGATTTTGCAGAGAGATACTAAATGGCAAAATATTTTCATGTCAAATATAGGCAAGCAAAAGTTAAAAAAAAAGAAAATGTTTCAGTTGTGGCTTGATTATATAGATATAAGATAATTTTATATGGCAGTAAACAACTATTTTTGGAAAGATGAACTAAGATCCTGGGAAATAATTATTCAAAAAGAGAGAAAACTTCACTTATGATTAATTTTTATCAAATCCACTGTTGCGCAATAATAGCATTAAGATTTTCATTTGCCAAATTTAAGCAAAACGATAACATTAACACAGACTTTCTGAAATTTAACAGTGTCATTTCATCAGTGAAAGAGGCATCAGAATCTTTCACTAAATGATCTTACAAATTATTTTGTCCTTTTATACCATCATATCTACAAGTATTTTTTTAAACACTTTAAAGGGTCAAATGATATGTATTCTGTTCTGACTAGAAATAATGTTATTCATACTGGACAATTTAAGTGGGTTAACATTTTAGGTAAACAGAACTTGAACTTAAAATATTTTCAGACTGCCTTTTCTATTACTTATAGACTGTTGGCACAAAGATATGTCTCGCCTGTCGGCAAAACAAAATCAGAAAAAGACAAGCGAATGAACATTAACATTGCAAATTAATTCAGTCTCTGGAACATGAGCAAGTGGGTAGGGCCTCCAAATGGTCAACAAACTGAGATGTACGGACAGTAATTTAAATTTATAGAACATATAATTGTCTATTATAAGTAGTTCCTATCAAACTAACTTAAGCAGAAAACTTAAAATTGAAAATTGCTTATTAATTTAAAGTCACTTAATAATGAACTAGGGGGGTGGGGGGAGGTCTTGAAATAGTCGTTAACTGACATGTACTGATAGTAGTGCAACGTCATACAAAATATTATTGATCTATCACAAGTATTTTCTATCAAACTAACTTAAGCAGAAAACTTAACATTGAAAAAAAGTAAAATAACAAAAATACCGAACTCCAAGGAAAATTCTAAATGGAAAGTCCCTAATCAAATGGCAAAATCAAAAACTCAAACACATCAAACGAATGTAAAACAACTGTCATATATCTGACTTGGTACAGGCGTTTCCACACTAACTTAAGCAGAAAACTTAACATTGAAAATTGGTAATTAATTCAAAGTCACTTGACCATGACCTAGTGGGGCAGGGCCTCAAAATAGTCTTCAAACTGATATGAACTGATAGTAATGCAACTTAATACGAAATATCATTGATCTATTACAGGTAGTTCATTTTAATCTAACTTAAGCAGAAAACTTAACAATTTTTGACGCCGTCATCATCGTCGCCGTCGCCGGAAAAGCAATCCCTATGTCTCGCTTTCTGCGACTTTCGTCGCAGGCGATACAAAAATAGTAAATCACAGTGGTCGCAATATAGGATTAATCATTAGCATTATTGCAACAAATCAGTATCTTATTGAAATAAAACTTACTGATGACCCTTTATGTACATTTTGTAAAACAAAAAACTAGTCTATAGAGCATCTCTTTTTGAATTACATTGCTGTACAAAATTTTCTACAGGATATCATTGATAACTGGTTTCTTTCCGGTGGAATAAGTCTCCCAATGAATAAATTAAACTCTCGATTTGGAGACTTATCATAAAGTTTCCCCAACAACCCATACAACATAATTTTTCTTTATATTAAACAATATCTGCATAATTCTAGATGCTTTAAAAAGAATCTCTCACTGTAAGCAATTAGAATAAAGCTGAAAAAATATGCACAAATTAGAAAGTATGATAGCTGTAACAAATAAAACAAATAAATGAATTTGACAATGTATGGAAATATTTTGAAAACCTGTTATTTAATAAATGCTAATCACTATTAACCAATTATATATTTAAAAGAATATATAATTTTCTTGTAATGTTTTTGACCTGTGTTGTTGGCTGTTACGAAAGAAATATGTTTAGTTATTTTTTTTTAAATATTATCAATCATGCATATAAAAGAGGGACGAAAGATACCAGAGGGACAGTCAAACTCTTAGATCGAAAACAAACTGACAACGCCATGGCCAAAAATAAAAAGACAAACAGACAAATAATAGTACAGATGACACAACATAGAAAACTAATGACTAAGCAACACGAACCCCACCAAAAACTTGGGGTGATCTCAGGTGCTCCGGAAGAGTAAGCAGATCCTGCTCCACATGTGGCATCCGTCGTGTTGCTTATGTTATTACAAATCCGGTAAATGGTCTAATTCGGTAGGTCACATTCGTGAAAAGGGAAGGGTATTGTAGTTACGACATAAGGAACATATCCGATATCGTCTGTGAAACGGTTATTCCGTCATGGTCAACCAACTCGTGATGGCGTTCGTAAAATTTACGAAGGGATGATTTCAACTTCACCATTTGGAACTCTTGGTTTAATAGCTTCCTTGTGAGTTGCAATCCTCTATCAAGGAAATCATGATAGGAAATACAAGCCCGGGAATATCGTATCAATTGGGAGATTAATACTCCGTATGCAGGCGCTGCTGGAATGTTGCTACATAGAAATGGAAAGTTCACAATTGGGAAGCTGAAATCATATCTTTTGTTATTGTTATATTTGCGAGGAGTTTTGATGCCCGAGGGAATGTAATATTTTAAAGATAATCATAAAAAACTAATTTTATTGTAAAGTTTACTTATGGTAATTACTTTTTTTTTTAAATATTTTTTTTAAAAATATTTTCAGCAGGTACATAATGTTTGTAATATCCTTAATATTCTGCTGCAATACAAATGTTATCTATCTATTATACATGTACACAAGATCATTTTACACATCAAACTGAGTAAATCTTAAAAATAGGGAAAACTGGATTGCTGAACTATGAAAATGAGAGAAAGCTATTACAAAACAGTGGACTAATATCCTCAAAAACTCACAATTTAAACGTACCCAAGTTAAAATAAATAAAAATGAAAATCACAATATCATAAATAAAAAAACCTATACAATCCCTAAATAACCATAAGATTTAAATCTTTTTACTACAATCAAGAGGAATACATACACTCATTGACTTTTTGACATGGAAATCAAAGTTAACACTACGAAACACTAACTTTGCATATAATAGATTGAAATTTATCTTTACATTTCTAGATAATAATAGCTATGAATAATTAAGATGAAAACTGTTACATTACATACTTCCCTGTAATAAACTATTAAAACAACGGCATATAATAGAACCAGATATATGCTTACACTGTAAATAATAAGAGGAGTATGATCATACATGTAGCAAGTTAACTTGCTGTACAGGTTGGGACTGCACCCATCTGTCTCTTTCTAAAATGCTCATATATTAAATCTTTTTGGAAAGAAGTACAACACACAATCCAGCAATTAATCATTGAAAGACATGCTATTAATATGAAGAGTATAATTTTTGGATATAAAGTATATAATAAGGAGTATTATGAACTTACTTCTAACCCTAATCAGTTACACTACACATAAAGTATACTACATGTTCGACAAAAAATAACAAATGTGCATGCACGAAATCAGCAATCATATTGAAACAAGAATGATTTTAGGATTGTTACACGATTGGTTAACTATTAAGGAATGTAAGCTATTTAATTAACTAATTTGAAATAAAAAATTGAGGAAAGTTGTGTGAATTTGATTTACATAAAGAGATAAACTTGCTTTTTGGTAAAAAATAATAATTCTTTCAAAAAAAGAAAGTATTATTATTATATATATATTTATTTATTTATTTTTTATGTATAGAGCTTTGACTGAATTTTTCTACAACTGTAGTTTTATTCTTGTTGTTCTATATTACTAGTTTCATTTTTTTCTGTTGTTACCTAACCATTCAATGGAACAATGATATTCAAGATATAAGGTAGTTAACATGACACTTAGGAATTGAATATTACCTTCAGCTGAATGATCTGGTAAAATAAGCAGCCGATTTTAATGTAGATCATATATTTTGTAAAACATATATGAATTTAAATCAAACAATGACCTCAGAATAAAATGAAAATATAACAGAAATCCTGCACAACAAACTTTAGAAAAATTCCATGGTTAATCAATTTGATTAGATATATTCCATGTCACTATAGAAGGCACGGCTCAATTTACTAGGCCATAGGGATAATGATAGCCTTTTTAGAATTTTTACCACTTTCTAACACTGACCCAGAACCTGCATACACAGGTAACTGAAATACCTTCTTTATAATATTCAGAAATTAATGTGGATAAGATATGATAAGATAAGATATTTTTATTAACCAATCATGGTGCCTTAAATTTGAGCAATACAATCAAATGAATTGTTACACAATATATATGCATATGTGAATATGAATGATGACCGTTTACTTTTTCTGCTATCTTTATAAACATTAGGCCACTAGTGCTTTGAGGTTATTTTTCATGCAGTGAATACACAATTTAAAAAAACTGCTGAAATATTCATTTTCATCTGTATGTAAAATTATTCTATATTTTTCTACACCTGATTCCTCCATCAGGTTGGGAAAATATGTTCAGTATAAGAGAGGCGAAGGATATCAAAGGGACATTCAAACCCATAAGTCGAAAAAAAAGTGACAACACCATGGATAAAAAAGAAAAGGGCAAACAGAAAAACAACAGTACACAAAACAACATAGAAAACCAAAGACTGAGCAACACGAACCCCATCAAAAACTGGGGGTGATCTCAGTAGATACTGCATTTTTATCCAATCACAGTGACTTAAGTAGGGTACACAAAAGAGCAACCTAGTTCATGGATAGAAAATAAAATCGTGCCACCTATTGTGTAAAATAAAGCTATTTGTGAACAAAACAATTAGTAAAAAAATCATTCAGGTGAAGACATAAATTATATCCGGATTATTGTGAATTTTTTAACTAACACAAGTAACCATATTGTATGCTCTGTACTAATGTTAAAGAACCGGTATTTACAAATGTAAACATGTTAAGGAAATTTGTTTTAAGAGGAGAAAAAAGATCTTTTTACAACATCTCCTTATTTTTATATTCCTCCCCAGTTAACTTCAGAGGCGGACCAAATATTAACCTTCACTTATGTCATATAAGATGTCCTTGGAACAACTATGCTTTTACAACTAATTTGACTTCGTATCAAGGACTGACCATAACAGTCAAATCCCCGTTGCAAGTTATGTTTGACCAGTCAAAATGTCTGGTCATCAAGTTGACTTGCTGTACAGGTTATGACCGCATTCAATTGTATCCATCTGCCTTCTGGTTGTTTTGAAATACATTAAAACTAGAATAAAAATCAGAGCCTTTGGGTGGAGTATGTCTCAGGATTTGTCCTGTCAAATGTATGAGACAAAATAATAGTAAAACTGTATCAATAAACTATAGAAGTGACAATGGTTTGATTAATCTTTGTCAGTAATAAATCTGTGAAAAAAAGTTTTAAACTTATGAAAAATAATGATGCTTATCAAATTTTTTTAAAATTCATTGAAGTTTCATTTGATGTGAGGTATGGCAAGATCTATTCCGACATTTTACAATTAATTCCCAATTCTGAATTAGATTACTGTAAAATATATAAATATTATTCAAAAACAATAACAATATACACTATCCACGAAGCTGGACTAATACCACGAATCCTGGATTGACTGAGTATGTTAGTGACTGAAATGCGGATATTCAAAGAAGTTGATAATATAAATTTGGACTTTTTTGGGTGTTTTATTTGATTTTTTTCTAAAATGCAAGTACATCCTACAAACATTCGTATTTGCATATTCGGATCTAACGATGTAGTAAGTTTCAAATAGATATAATGAACCATTTTTACTAAAAACTTTTAAGAAGTTGCGAAGACAAGGTATAGGATGGACAGGGCCAAAAACTTTCTAAGCTCATATAGGCATATCTCTTGAAATGGATTGGAGCATTCTACCAACATGCACATCTGTGAAATAGGATTTTAAAATATAGCTTTCGTGTTCGAGGACTTGTAATGACAAGGTTGGTTATGAAGAGGGTCAACATTTCTTAGGTGACAGGGGCATAATTCTGGATAAACTATTCAGAATCAATAGCTAAAAAATCCTCAACGGCCCAGAACATCATGCATACATGCACATATGTATATTAGGATCTGAAAATGTTCTAAGTTTCTTTTAGATAAGATAATTCATGTAGGAGGAGTTTCGATGACACATTCGGTTCTTCCAACATTTCGAAGTAAGAAGGAGCATAACTAAAAAAATCACTGGATAGACACATCCTATCCACATGAACATCTGTATATTATGATTTAACAATGTAGTGATTCTCATATTGATACGATGAACCGTATAGGATGATTTGCGATGACAAGGTCGGTTCTGTCAACATTTTTAAGTTGAAAGGAGCATAACTTACAGAAACTCAATGGACCGAAAAATTCAACCCACATGAACATCTACATTTGAGGATCTAACTTTGTACAACATTTCAAGCCCATCCGATAAACTATGTGAACGAGTTACGATGACAAGGTTGGTATTGAAAAGGGTCAACATTTCTAACGTGAAAGGGGCATTATTCTCGTTTAACTAAACAGTAAAAAAATCTTTCACCGGTAATGTTTGCTTTTTCGTAATCTTTAAGTCTACAAAGTTTGAAGCGAATAAAACAAAGGATAAAGAAGTTGATCCGGACAGACTGAGAGACGGACAGACAGGCTGTTTTATATATATCCCCGAACTTTGTTTGAAGGGTTTGAATAACAAGTAACATTAAGTAACATTACCACCAAGATCAACAACCATATATTTTGTTCCAGGCTCAGTCATGGTAAATCCTTGTTGTTCAGCTCCAAGTAGTTTCTTTGTAGGAAGATACTGAGAATAAATAGATGCTGCTTCGGGTTCAAGCGAAATATTAAGATTACTTTCTGGAATTCCTGCCTGAAATATTGATCAAATCAAAACGAATATATATTTATACCTAAGGCAAAAATACCTAGCCTACATGTAAGAAGGATAAATACAATGTCCCCGAGACTTACAAGATTTTATATAATATGACTCCACCTGTTTAAGACTTAATTAAGAAACAAGGCCGTACATATGATTTCTGATATTTATCTTTTACAGATACTAGTACAAGTGAGAACAGAATGGTAATTTCAATTTAAGTCCATGATCTTGTTCTGGAGTGTTCAAGCATGTTCCTATGTTGCTTACAGATATTGAACACACTTTTAACCATACATGGTTACTGCAGCAGCGTACACAAAAAACATATTTCCTTTGTTTGTTTTTAAGTCTTTCCACTTTTCCCTATTGATTTTGTTCTGATTATTATTTTTTTTTTCTTCCGACACTTTTAATTCTTACTAGGCTTTTTTGTTTCGCAAGATGTAACTAAGATATTTGGTATATGATATCTAACAGTCAATACGCTTTTGAAACTGACACCGTTTAACCGAACACTTGTCTTTGTATGAGTTATTCCATAAACACGGGTTTACTTGTGATCTTTACTCCTTCCTAACCGTAAAAGAAACCGACAAATTTATGTTTCCCAATTGCTCATTATATACTCTGGATGCCAAAAAAATTGTGACCGAAGTGATCCAGGGACTCCTTATGAGAGTTATTTCCCCTTATGTTTTTGATGAAATTGATATGTATTTGTAACTTGTAAACCTTAGCTGATAGAGACAAGGGTCATTTGATTTGAGGTCCTGGGTCCACCCAAAAGAAAATGAGGTCAAAGTCTAAGGTCAAAGTCATGTTCTTAATTTTGACATTAACTTCATACCGATTCTACTCCGAAAGAATTATAGATATCGACAAATAAATTTAACCAAAATATTAGTCGCTGGATAACTTTGTCAAAATTATATGCGTCATTTTATGGTAAAATAAAAAAAAATAACAAATTATAACTTCAAACTTTGCAGCTATTATGATGTGCATGTATCTTTTCTCAATCAATCAAACAAGGGCTTTCCACCACCGTCATCGCCCCTTCCCCCATTTCACTGATTTTTTTTTCGAGGATCACAATTCTATTGAAATCAAAATCGCCTTCAGGCCCGTAAATTCTACTGGAAAAATGCAATCCGTTTTATGTACAAACTTCTAAAATAGAAATCCTGCAAATATCTGCTCCAATTCATGTATTTTCAGAAAATAATCGATAAACGTTTTGTTAAATTACTATACCAACAGCATGTTTTCGGGGCATGCAATGAATGAAAACTCGTGGTCAGTTTGCCTGTTGAAAAAAGAAATTACATTCCGTTAAATACATGTGCGGTCAGCTTGACGTCCTGGCCTAGACTGAGAAAATAAAATCAAAGGTTCTAAACATGCATTAAAATACAAATCTGTGCTCCTGTAACAATGTACATTTTCTGAAAATGATCGATAAATGTATTGTCAAATTCCATACTGTAAACTTTGGATCGCACGAACACTCTTGATTAAAGATCAAACATCAGCTCTTCTTTAAATTAAAGAAAATTAAATCCGTTAGCACTATGTTTATACGCGTGACCTGTCTTGACGATATCTCCATCTGCAAAGAATTAAATTAGACTATATGTACTTGGTGACGTCACAATCACATCATCTTCAGTGCGTGCCAGGAATAGAAGTAGAAATTAACACCTAAATTAAACAAAAAGTAAAGATCAATGTCCGATTTCCTTACAAAACAGAAAAAAAAATGCACACACAACTAATAAATAAAACTTGAAGTCCGAGGTTCTGTAGAAAATAGAGAAAATTTAATTTATAAAGGGAAGATGTAAGGATTATTTTCATTAGGGCATCAAGGACGTCCGTTTGCCTGTGCGGCATGTATAAGGTGTAATACCACCAAATCATAGTACGTCACATCCGGTTGCATACGAAAATAGGTCGAAAAAAAATATTCCCTTGAATTTGACAGTTGTAGGTAATTGATCCTAAATGTCATTGCAGTAAAACATTTCTGGGTCATAAACATATATCTTGGGTATTTCAAAGCACCATTATTTTTTTATTTGGGGTTTCTATAAAATATTTTGGAAACTTGAGGTTACATGGTTACTAAAGCTTGTACACAGGTTAAAAAAGGGGGAAAATTTGATTGGTTAACTTTCAGTGATGGTTATTTTCTTATATGCAATGAAATGTTATGTGAATTTTTTTCTATAGTACTGGACAGGATAAAACTTTACTCATGCCAAGTATTTCTTTATTTGAAATAAAGATAAATTCTGCACAATTTTTTGAAAAGTGCAAATTTAACAAAGACTAATAGGGGAAAATCAATGGTGGTATTACACCTAATATGGGAAGCTGTACATGCACCTTTGACCTTGTGAGTACTCTCATGTGTTAAAATTTCTTGCTATTTAAGTGAAATATTACAAATAATGAAATATTCTGAGTTGATTGAGTCTCCAAAACACATTTTATGAGAAAATTTCCTTGAAATAGGACTTTACCATGAATATTAGTTGACAGAACAAGCCCTACTTAGAGTTTTGGGGAGCTTTTTCACCTTATTTCTTATATTCTGCTATACTAAAAAAAATTTCCTAAGAAATACTTTAATAAATATATAGTTTTAAGTAAATGAAATTATTTTTAAAGCAGTAACAACAAATTATTCACCAAAAGAGAAGCTTTTTATGTCCCTCTCTGGAACGCGGCGTAAATTTAAGTTTTACGTAAGGACTTATTGAAACCTCCTTGGAGACAGTAAACTTTTATACGGATAGTTCATTCAGCTTGAATACTTCAATTAATCATTTATTATAACATTTCTATCATAAATGAGTGAAAGTTACCCCAAAATTTTTATTTATTGGCCTAAAAAGTAGAAATTTTGAGGAAATGAGAGGTATAAATGGACCAAAAGAGACCTTATAAGGAAGACAAAGAGGTCTATTAGTAGCATTTGTCATCCTAAAGTCATCTTTTGTATCATATTCAACTGTTTGTAGGCAAATGAGATAAATATTTGACCATTTATTGGTCCACACTATATTCTATCATGATGCGACTTGGTTTGGATTTTTCGAAGAAATTTTGCTCGAATCGCTGTAGAAGTTGTCTTACATTATACTAGATTTTTTTCAAACTATTGAACTGATTATGACAAAACTTGACAGGAATGCTTGAAATAAGCAGTATTACAAAGGAAAAAAGTCACATTCAGTTTATTGAACAAAAAAGTCTTCTTTATAAATACACAACCATGTTCAGTCAGAATGACGACATTAAATCCGATGCCACGCCAAGAGAATACCATTCAAAATTAGTCAATCAATCAATCAAACAACCATGCATGCATGTTTCAGTTCCATGAGTTTAATAGGGATCCAGGAGCTCTTTCTTATTTCGCTTTCTCCTAGATATCTGATCCAATGTGTTAAATCAGTCAACCAACCAATTAATCAACCAGCCAACCAATCAACCAATCAATCAATCGATCAATTTATCAATCAATCATTTTTCGGTCCAACGTGTTTTATAGGGGGTCCACTTTTCGCGTGTTTCTTGAGTACCGGTCTCATGTGTTTAATCAGTTAGTCAACAACCAACCAACCATCCAATCAATCAATCAGTCAATTAATCAATCATTCATGTTTCAGTCCCATGTCTTTAATAGAGGATCCGCTATTTCGCTTGTTCCTAGAGACCCGCTCCGATCTGTTTAATCAGTCAGTCAACAAACTAAACAAACACTCAATCAATCAATCAATCAATAATAAATAAATAAATAAATAAATAAATCAATCATATATCGAAGGAGAAAGACCGTTTTCAATTTCACGACGTCATGTCTATTGCAGGTTAAAAGTGACAATTTCGAAAGCGGTTTTCTCGGCAAATAAGTTGGAGTTATCTCTCTTATTGCACAAAATGAATATTATGAGGTCGGTCATTATCCAGATTTGTTACTGGAAGTTTGGAATCGTCTGCTATGTTTGTATTTTGTATAGTTTTGAGAATGGTCCCATAACGTAAGGAATTGTACCTGTCGGCGAAAAATTCCATTGCAGAAGTGCATAAAGCTGGTATGAAAGGACCTGATATTGCACGGCAAACAGGACATCCACTTCTAACTATTTATGGAGTTTTACATCGTTTTAAAGGTCGAGGGAGTTTGGATAACTAGGAGAGAACGGGAAGGCAAATCTGCTAACACCACTGTCAAATCAAATAGAAAACTTTCACTTCATGAAATAACTGCTGTTTTAATGAGCTGAGGAAAAAACCCTTGTCTAAGCGTACTGTTCATAGAAAGTTGTATAAAAAGGGTTATAAACAAAATCATTAGAACTCGTGCTGCAAATGTAAAAAAGGCTGGCATGATGGAAATTGAACAGGCACAAAATTATGAAAGATTATTGGAGAAGAGTCATCTATAATTATGAATGCAAAGTGGAAATTGGAATGGAATGGCTTATCGTGTTTTAGTCTGGAGACGACCCGGTGAAGAATGAACACCTTCATGCTTGAATCCTGGCCGTGGGACACGCTTGAGTTTGATGATCTGGGGCTGCATTACCTATGCAGGTGTTGGTACTATTACTGTTGTAACTGGTAATGTTAATGCTTTAAAGTATATTGAGATTGTTTATAATTTTGTTTGGACTGTTATTGATCGTCATTTCCCTGATGACAATTGCATATATCAAGATGACAATGCCCCGGATCCTGGAGCTAATTCTGTGAAAGAGTACATGGAATAAATTCAACTTCATGGCATTGAAAATGGCCAGCAGAAAGTCCAGACCTTAATATAATTGAGAATTAGTGGCATAAAACAGGCACATAATATCACCACAAAGGCTCAAATGGAGACAGCAATTCGGAAGATATGGACAAATGTACCCTTCGAATTCAAAAGAACTTTTATGATTCGATTCTAAGATGTTAGAGGTAAGGGCAAAATTAAACATCTCAAAATATTAGGTGAGTTCAGATAAAATTTTTCAAATATAATTACAAAGGCACTGTATATATTATGCATGCCTTTAATTTATTATGTATGTCGGTTCATACGCTTGCTCAGATCTTATACTGTATTGTTATTCAACTTGCCGACTAAACATAAATTATTTGATATTTGATTAAACAAACGACCATTATGCCTGTGCAAGATGTACAAAGGTAGAAGGTCCTAAACAGTTATTCATATATAAATATGTAATTTGCTGTTTTAAAAATATTTTCTGTTGAAGGTACAAAAAAAAAAAAATCAAAATTCATGGATTTTTCGGTCGCTCTCCCTTTGAAGTTCATGCTATTCCCACAGTTTGTGTTTGTTACCTTGATTTGTTTTCCTATTCAATTTATAATATCTCAACATCGGTAAACTACTGTTACCTAAACAATTGTTTATTTAATTTAGTTGCGCCTTTTGATAATTTGTCCTGCACCTTTTCATTCTACATATTTTCAAAAAAGAAACACCTGTACATTTTCCTCTTTACACTCTTAATTATACCATTATTGAATTATTCAGCACTTTTATATCTTCAAAATTATTTTTAAATATTTCTTCTTTCGCTTTTCATTATAAGAAATGACTGGAGTATAGAAATATGGTCATCCCTGGTCTCACCCATCTGGCAGTTAAATCCATACTTAGTGAAGCTTTGGTTTGACTATGCGACATGTTCAGAAACGCAGCCAATTCCGGCAGCAATGAGGAGCCTCGTGTAGAGTGGCCCGATCTGCACGTTAAAAAAAGTTTAAAAAAATCTTTAACGTAGCTGGCTTGTTGACAATTTTTCTATCCTTATCTAATACACTTTCATTTCAAGTTGCAGTCAAAATTACCGTTTATCCTGGTCGACCCACTTTGCAGATCCTACCTGTTGGATTTATTGTCATACTGTTCTCGTCCTTATTATGCATAAACTGCTTTCCGATATGCAAACAATAGTAAATCATATAATCATACTTTGCTCTTTGAGTTATTCTAAGGAAATAAACAATATCTAAAGCAAATTCTTTCTCTTTCAAATAAATAAATAATCCTTTTACCTTTTCAGCACTTCTCCTCATGAACTGTTTTGCAGCATCCGACCAGATAGCAGGAACTGTCAATACCCACAATATATCTTTCATTTCAACATCAGTCCCTCTTTTTTCCAGAATATCTAGTAAATGCGTCACTAATGCTTTGATTGCCAATGAAAATACATCTAAAGCTAGTACTTGTTTGTCCGAAATGTCATTCAAAACCATTTCATTTGTGATATGCTGCAAAAGAAAAGGTAAATACGGGTGTCACATGCAAAGCAGGATCTGTTTACCATTCCAAAGTAGCAGATATCAATGGGGTTCGTTTTGCCTAGTCTTATGTTTTCTTTATAGCGTTTTGCTGACTGCTGTTTGTCTTCTCATCGTTTTCTTTTTTTTTTTTGTCATGTATTGTCGGTTTTTCTTCGACTTATGTTCGATTTATGAGTTTTGATTTTTGTTTTTTTTGGCATTATCTTCCTCTTAATTGTATCAAAACTGCTGGCTTGTCTATGTTTCTTGAAACGAACAAACTCAGAAGAACAAAAATGAATGCGATTTATGACAGTGTAAATATGACTCTAGTCAGCTCATACACCGAAATTAAAACATTTAAACTGATGTTGTTGCTTCTTTCTTCCAAAGCATATTTTTGAGAAAAAAATATAACCTACGTTGCACATATTCAAAACGATTAATTCTATTACCATATTGAGAATATCGTTATGAGACATCAAACACTATATGTTTTGATCTAATAATAAAATTTTGACGAGGGCTCTGGGGATTTTAACAAAGATTTAATTATCCCTGTCTATACTTTCTGAAAATGCCATTACAAAGAAAGCTCAGAATGATCACTTGCATTCGAAATCCCATATTTAAAATCTAAAGAAAGGTTGAATTGAAAATTCGAAATTGAGAATTTGCTATGAACTCCCACATTTACTCCTTCCTGAGGACTATCACTGGTTCACTGTTAGATGGAATCAGTGATCTACCGCTCCCCATTAATTCTAAGCAATAATTTGGTATGATAAGTATAGTCTTTTTAATTTTTACAAACCTTTAATGCTTCGAAGTGTAATAGTACTTCAAACTGAGTATCTTTTATGATGACATATTTTTAAAGTGAAATTCAATATTAGTGGTTCAGTATTCATTATAACTACAAGTACTTTTCATTTTTATTCTACAATTTAAATATATCAAAATGTGTGTGACACCTCACGTATTGTAAGATATGCATAATAATACGTAAACAATAATAAGCCAACATGAAAACATAGGTTCTTTTTATGTTAGTTTTCTCTTTAATGCCTCGTGGATTTAAAAACTAACTGTTTTTCATTTTTTTTACTTGCCTTATTGTTATAATGTTTAATACAACTGCCTTATTATGAGATAGTTTAACGCACTTGCCTTATTATTATGTAGTTTCATTTTGAATCTGTGGAAGTAGAAGTAGTTATTCTGCTCGCCTTCCATTACTATGTCAGAAAACATATTTTCTGCATCATAACCAAAAGCCACAAATTCTTTGTTTTTGTTTAGTAACAGACATGTCGGGGTTTTCAAGGATAAAAGTGATCGCCCTCCAGCATTCCAGGCTTGGTTAGCATGGATTTTGAGAGGAGTTTCTTTAAACTCATGGCGAAAGGAAAATGCATAACCGCTATAGGTTGTACCAAAGTCCACAGCAGCCACCAACATATGATTTGTCGTCTGCAACATATCTAGGTTATGACCTTTAAAAAAATAATTCTGTATCATTTATAATTCTATTGATCTATTTTTGTTTCACACTATGACTTTGTAGTGAGGAAAGTAGGTCATACTTATTTTCACTTTTCCACAGTTGTTTGTTATGCAAAATGATCTTTCATAGTTAAAACATAATTACCTCAATCAGATGTTGTTACTGTATCTTATTTTATCCATATTTATCCTTTTATAATGTTACAATTATCCAAATTCCTACTTTCACATTTGTATATACACAGTCTATAGTTAGAGTATTGATTGAACTGGTCTTGCTAACGTTTTCAGAAATTATAGTTCGTTTCAAACATGTCAAATTAGAGATTTGAGTGAACAGCTAACTTTGACAGTTAAGCAGTATTTGTTATTGATGTATTTTAAACACACGGCAAGTGATTTAGAACACATTGCAACTTATTTAGAACACAATGCAACTTAATTATATTAGTTATCATAACTGTAGTTAATTATATAAGTTAATAACTGTAATTAATTATATTAGTTAATAACTGTAAATTATTATATTAGTTATAATAACTGTAGTCAATTAGATCAGCTTTTAGTAAAGCTGCTTTTATTTATCTAAACATATCTTATTTCTATCTTTACAATGTTTGGACTTTCAAAACAGTTAAAGACTGTTACATTTAGAATTGCTATTTGCATCATATCTACCAACCACTCTTAGTATCGGTTGGCACTTCAAGGAAAATCTATCTTGTTAAAATAAAATTGGTGAAGACTTGAAATTTTACAGATCACCTTACCAATTCAAATTTACGAAACATGACAATGTCTGACACTGCAATATGTTCGTAATAAATAGTTTTTCGCAAAATGAAACAATGCGGGATTATCTCAATTAAATCTCGAATATAATCAAATTTAACAAACAAACATAGCTTTCTTAATTTCTTGAGATCAGCCAGATTTTCTATACTTAATAACTTTTCCGTACATTTTTCTGAGAAAATCCTGGATTTTCACGAATAAGAATTAAGCCAGATAAAGTAAGATGAATAAGGATTAGTGAATAAAAGTGATTTCCGCGTGGCATACAAGGTTTAATAATTAAATTATTACGAGCGTAGCGTAGTATTGTTGAATAAGACATGAGTCCAGTCCACCAATAAACAAAAAGTGACATCATCTGTGGTACTCGAATGTAAACAGTTTAGGGGCCAATCAATAAAAAATATTTTCCAAGTCGTATATTCAAAACAAAGTAAACAACACATGTTTGGTTTGTTGTGGAGACTTTTTATTTCTATATTCATCAAAACTTTAAAATTATGCCGAAATTGAGTCAAATGACCTCCAGAATTTTATCATGTATAAATCTCCACTACAGAGTTTACCACAAACAAAAATCTAAACTAAGGATCTTTTTGTAATTAGTATCCTAAACAAAACACGAATCAATAAATTTCAAATCCGTGAAGATACAAACTGATCGCGATAAAAAGAAAAGCTAGACATTGTATAGACACTGGTTGTTTGTCAGAAATCGTATGTCTTTCTTTATTCCAGACACTGAGATTAAAAGGGGAAGGATTGAGATTTCTAAATGAACCCCGCAACATGTCAAGAACCTCGTCGTGGCTGTCCTCCTTTGTATCTCAAATTTTAATGTATGTCATTTATGGGATATTGTACTCAGCAATTGGTGTATACCTTTTATTCATGTGTTTAAGATATGAATTCTTCTTTTTCTGTTCTAAATAGACCATTTGTTTTTAAGTGGTGTTTAATGCATATAATTTGTTAATCAATATTCCAAAAACCCTAGACATTTTGTGCGTTTTAAAAGCAATTATGAGAAACATTAGTTTCAACAGATTTTTCTGTTACCTTACTTCCTCTTTGTCTCAAATAAATATTTGTATCTGTTAAAATTGATAATGGGTCCTTTACACTCTTATGACATACCTTTTAAGCTTCCTGTTTTTGTTTTATGCTGTGCTGTGTGACATGCGGAACAGCTTTCGTTCTCCAGACTGTTTAACGCATTAAAATTTAACCATATCCATTTTTTTAATCTTAATTCCCAGCATTGATTGTTGCTCAAATAGAAATAGTATGGTAGATTAATTAATAAAAAGCATTAATTGATTCTTGATCAGGGTGGTACGTGGTACTGACGTCAGAATACATTTGCATTCTAATTTCCTAAACACAAAACATAAACATTCATCTGAGAAATTGACCAATCGACTGAAGGAACCGCAATACATTGTGGGCTACTACTATCACTTAAGAACACGTGGAATTTGGTTGAAAATTGTCATGTTTTATTGTATCTCGTAATCTCGTAATCTCATATCTAATATTTTTATTCAGCTAATGTATTTAAGATAATGATATATATATAACATAATCTTTAATGTACTGAGATTAAAAAAAAATTAAAAAATTATCACATGCTTTAGAATTCGATTTTTTTTAGTCTTGTTAAATTAGTTTAACAGGTTTTGTCTACTGTAACATGTATGCACTGAACCTGTGCATTCATTTTACGTGAAATAAGAAATGAAGTGACCATTGTCCAGTATAAAGGTATTCAAAGCTAGTATTTCCCAATAATTTGTTTCAAAATAGACTGCGCATTGGACGATTAAGAATAAAGAATGGTAAGCTTGGAGTCAGAAAAGTACGTGCGAGTAGAATGACATAATATGCAGAAAATCTTAGCTGATTTTATCAAGATTGGCAAATATCCTACTCCGTTAAAAGTTTCTTAAATCCCTATGTCTAAAAGAGAGGGAGATGAACTTAAAGACGTAAGATGTAAAGACGAAAACAAAACAAAACTACAACTTCTTGCAATGATTGACGAAAATATTGATGGTTTACCTACAGAACAAAAAAACATTTTGAATTAGAAAAAAATCAAAGAAACTGAAAAGCTAGGACATATGTTCTCATAGATTGTACGAACAATGTCAGACAGGAATTAAGACATAACAACAGTAATTTCAATGACTAGGTGTTTTATGGTGTGTGTAGCACTTGAACATGTACAGTACCTATTTATGAATTTGTTTATACATTCTATAGAAAGGTTATTTTTTATTATTTTGAGACTTGCTGAAATGATTAGACGCCTCTCGATTTTGAAAATATAAATGGATGTGCATGTTATATCTGTTGGGTTTCTTTGGGCGTTTGGTTGCTGTCTAGTGAACAAATGCCTGAAATCTTAAAGTTTTTTTATGCAAAATATTATTGGGTATATGCTTCGGGTATTTCAAACACTATTTTCTTATGACAGAATCATTTATTCGTAAATCAGAGCATATAACAAATACTTTGTATCATGGTCTGTAAATGTAAACATAAAAGAAGTAAAAGTAAGATGAATTGTTTTCCGGCAATATGTCGAAATTTGTATTGTATGACAGTAGAAAACACATGTTCTCGGTTAATTGTAAAAACGTAGTAGTCCATCATGCATTTCAACCCATTCAGTGCATTGGTTAATTACCCAGGTCAATGTTTTTGGGATGTTATGTAAACAAATATGTATATTGCCGAGATCCTTCGTATGCACATTTATGTATATCCATATAAGGTAGTGTAATCGACCTATTAATAAACATGTTTAAATGTCCTAATTCGTCAAGGACATAAAACGATCTTAATATCAAAACAAATACCTGGTAGATAATATCTGAAGTATTTTTAATGGACCTAATAAAGTGTAACATGTCAGGGTAGATCTAATTTTGCGCTTCTCTCCCAACCGGGCCTGAAATCCGGACTTTTCAAACTTTTTTCCGGCAACACTTCTGTGCATTAAAAACAAACCTCTTGTCCTCCTTTCACTTCAGCTAATAACAATCAGCTTTCATTTCGGGTTGTGTAACCTTTTCATAGGTGGTGAACAATGACCATTCGAAATATATATATATATATATATATATATATATATATATATATATATATATATATATATATATATATATAATATAAGTACGTCTGAACCAGTGACAACTCTACGACAGATTTTATCCATCTGATTGTTTTCAGCCTTGTATCACCATCACTGGTGATCCGATGGATAAAATCTGTCGTAGAGTTGTCACTGGTTCAGACGTACTTATAATATAATTATTTCTGTGACTGCATCCTACATTAATTCGTAAGATCCTCTACGATAGATAATTCAGTTGATCTGTAATATTCCATCTTCATGCCTTATATATCATGTACTGTGTTACGACGCTAGATAAAAACTAACAAGGAAAGGTAACAACCGGCCACCGAAAGCTTGATTTTTGTCGGGTCTAGGTGGTCGAGTGGTCAAGCGCGTCGGGCATAGTGCAAGGCGATTTGGTGCCACGATATCTCAGTAGCATGAGTTCGAATCCCGGCCAGGGAAGGACAAAAAATTTGCTTCCGCAAATTTATAGATCGAACATTGTTGGGCTGTTATTTAGACGAATTATATATATATATATATATATATAGATTGCCTAACAATGTAATTTTAACACACTATTTAGTATGTAAATATAAGAATGTTTAAAATATTTACAAAATGATGAAAATAAACGCAATATTTCGCTAGACTAACTAGCTTTATCAAGCGTGCATCTATCCAGGTGAAATCGGATGTAGATGATAAGAAACTTTTGCAGCTCAATGTATATGTTGCACTTGAATTTAGCTGCCTTGAAAATAATACATAATTTGGATGAAGTTCAAGATTTTTACAAAATTGGTAGTTGAAGTTAGCAACGTCCATTGGCCATTGCTAACTTCAACTACCAATTTTGTAAAAATCTTGAACTTCATCCAAATTATGTATTATTTTCAAGGCAGCTAAATTCAAGTGCAACATATACATTGAGCTGCAAAAGTTTCTTATCATCTACATCCGATTTCACCTGGATAGATGCACGCTTGATAAAGCTAGTTAGTCTAGCGAAATATTGCGTTTATTTTCATCATTTGTAAATATTTTAAACATTCTTATATTTACATACTAAATAGTGTGTTAAAATTACATTGTTAGGCAATCTATAATTTTATTTGTGTAATTGAATTAATCTCTGTACTGATTAATCCACACTCCCATAGATTTGTATGTCATGTGCTGCTATTTATAGGCACTTATATATATATATATATATATATATATATATATATATATATATACATCAATTGATGGATTGTTGTTAAATTTATTTGTTATTGACTCTGTTCTCTTTATTTATAAGATATCAAGGTTGTATTATGTGGAATGTAAATAAAAATTAGCCTGCTACAGTTGGCTGTAATGTACCTAATGTGCGCTATCGATTCAAAATGTTGACAATATCGTAAGATGATTATGATGTTATTGTCTTTATATATACAGTCCGCCAAAAGTTAAGCACCACCTAAATATAACTAGCAATATTTTTTTAACTATTGCGAAAAAAATATTAATATTTGGTGTTATGAATTACCTATAACATACACTAAGAAAATTCATTACGACCAAAAAAAAATAAACTCCGATATACACGCCAAGCAATTTTTTATTAAAGGTCATCTGCACTTTTTCGAATACACTGTTTCGATGCCTTTAAATCATCTTCCTACTGTCCCGCGCACAGGTGAAATTTGACCTTCACCAAGTCACTGTGAAATATGGCAAGGGGTAAGTTATATGTGACTGAACCTTGACAAGCAATTGACATGTTAAATGCCGGTAGGAGCACTAGTTGCATAGGTAACCATTTCAATGTTAAACACATCGTCATTGTCAGATTTTTAAAACGTCATGTTGACACAGGAACTGTAAATGATAGACCGAGATCCGGAAGACCCCGTTTAACTACCGATCGTGATGACAGACTCCTTATTGGTTGTGCTAAAGCCAACCCATTTACTCCTGCCCCACAACTCAGACACCACTGGCGTCAAGATGGTCATGTTAGTGTTCGAACATTGGTCCGTCGACTTCATAGAGGCTACCTAAGAGCACGTCGTGTTGTCAAGAGACCTGCCATAATAGCCAGGCACCGTATAATCAGGTTTCAAAGGGCTAATGACCATCGACGCTGAAACATGAGAAGCTGGCAAAATGTTCATTGGTCAAATGAGAGTCAGTTCCTGTTACGACCAATAGACGGCAGAATACGAGTTTGTCGTGGAAATAAAACTGCAAATGACCAAAACAACATTTGCCTAACGACTGCATACGTTGCTGGTGGTGTTACAGTATGGGGTTTCTTTTCATACTGTTGTAAGGTGGGTATGCATATTCTGCAGGGTAACAAGAACGAACAGACATACAGTGATTTTGTGCTTAGAAACATTGTAGTCCCTCATTTTGATAATCCTCCACTTGCTTCAAGACCCTTGTGCATGTACGACAATGCTAGACCACACAGGGCAAGGATTGTAACCGAGTACAAAGAGTACAAAGAGCAAGAAGCCATTGACACTATCTTTTGGCCTTCCATGTCTCCAGACATGAACCTTATCGAACATGTCTGGGATGCCATTGGCAGAAATCTCAATCGCAGAGATCCACCTTTGCAAAATCTTAACGATTTAAGAAGTGCAATTGTTGCTGAATCGAATACATTTGCTCAACTAAAGTTCAGAAGGCTTGTACAGAGTTTGAGACTCCGTGTTATGGAACTGTACCTGAAAAGAGGGTGTTACACATCCTATTGACTCAAATATTGACATTAAATTTGCCGAACATACCAAAGATTATTTGTAGAGACTTTTAATGATATTGAGTGATTAATTGTTGTAAAAAAATAAAATCACAGTGAAACTTAAATTCCGTTTCTCATTTGTGTAATTTTCACTATTTCTATGAACGCAAATTTCAAATGCATAGAACCTGCATACGTAAACAAACTTAAGTCTACGGTTTGCTTATGGTTTTAAGAACATCAGTTGTTCGACCTGCTAGTCAAATGCGTTTTGTTAAAATATAATTTTTAACTTTTTTGGTCTTTTGGAAAATGTTGTTTGTGCTGTATTTAGACCCCTCTACCAAGAAATTTGTTGTCATGCACACGTATAAAAATTACGGTTTTTATCCAACGCAATCATAGGTTTGAACGTTGTTTTCAATTTAGACTTGTTTATACTTATTCGTTTGGGCTTGTATTATATTTTCCTTTGGGTTTGTATGATCCGTCTTCTATTTCACTCTTCAAAATTCAAGAGTCTATCCTAAATTAAGGTAAATTATATGGCCTTCCAAATACCGTTTCGATTCCTAACATCAGTGAAGAGACATTAATTGTCGAAATCCGGATATGGTGTTCTAATTTTTGCACCTTTTGTTTGCGATATATCGCAAGTTTATTGTTCTCTGTTTTGGTATTAAATTA